CCCATACTGATTTCTTTTTTGTAGATGGTTTGTTGAACAGGTCCTGATATTTTCTGTGTCTTTCTATCAGGAGCAAAGTTGCCTCTTTTGACATACATGAACCGATACTGGAACTATTGGAATTAGCTGTGCTGCATGAAGTTAGAGATTTGGAACAAGCAACCATTTCTTTATCAGACCCTGTATCTCTAAGGCTGTTGTTCTCTGCAATAGACAATAGACTTTGGATCTATAAAATAAAACAATAAAAAATAGATGATAGATAGAGATGGCCTACTAGATTTTCAATTATTACGTTTTTATTTTCAAAAATAGTTGACCAAGAAAGATGAATACACCGCCGCCGCAAAACATAAAACTTTAAGGGGAAAACTTTGGCTATGCTATGTTACCTCTCTTTATTACTTCTTGACATCATTATTGAAGTTCATGTAAGGTCATGGTTAAAGCCAGGCCAAGCCTATTTTTGTCAATGACATCAAAAAGATGAATGCTAGGATATATTATTTGACATTAGTAAGACGTGTAACTTGCTCTGGATTCATAACATAGACGACTCCGTCATATTCTACGTTAAAATTATCATCTGTACAAAAATTAGCCGCCATGATAGTTTATGACGTCATAACTAATTCAAATCGCCAAATCGTCCTTCGAGAAGATTTGGCGATTTGGTGCAAACTGCTTTGGATTTGGGCTGAATAAAGATCCAACAAATTTAAATCGCTTTGAATTTGGTGGCCGATAAATATGTTTTTCAGTCATAGACCAAATCGATTAGCCAAATCGTATGTCGTTAAATATGCCTTTAGTTTACTACATTCTATTTTTTTAAGTTTTGAATCAACTTCCGTTTTGTCTTTTTCACTTTTACTGTATTGTAATTTACTATTGTTATTACTTTCTAGTTCTATGTACTCCTTTAATACATTACATCCATTTTGTTCGTTTCAAATGATTTTCTGTTAGCAGAAACTCTTCCTCCTTTAAAAGATTGTCTAATCAAATTTCTTATATAAGGAAAGTATGTATGTGAATAAACCTTTTCTACGTTTTCATTTCAGTGTGTTTTGAAAGAGTATTGTCCTTTCGTAATATTGTTCTTCAACCATTTCTATATCGTAATGATGCAAATAATACCAACCCTTTAAAGATAGAGAAGGGGCCGTTAGATTTTTAGAAACATTCTGGAATACAGTGTCTTTCATAGCCTTGTTGTATTTTATCAAACAAGCTCCAAGACATAGGGAGTCTCTTTTAGCATAAGGTTCCCATTCGTGTATAAAAAAGATTCCCAATTATCTTCGGTATATTTTACAATGTCTACATCCTCGATTTTTCTCAAATTCATTGGTAGATAAAACATTTAATTAAAACAGCAGATAGAAGAATGATAAGAATTGAATAAAAAACACCCTTTAAAAATGAAAGCAGAAACTTTAGCTATAGAAACAGCTTCACCAACTACAATAACTTATAATGGTAAAAAAAAATCAGCATAACTAAAAAACTTATTGATAAATTCAAATATTGTAAAGTCAGAGACGATATAGAGTTAGAAAGAATTGACGCAAAACGCAAAAGAAGGTGGATTTATATTTTCTCTACCTTTAATATTTAGTGGACTTATTGCAGCTGGTGCTACAGCTGGTGGAATAAAAGCTGCCAACGATAAGAAAGCAGATGAAGTAACAGCTGCTGCCGACGCAAAGAAAGCAGTCGAACAACGTAGACATAATTTAAAAATGGAAAAGTTGGCCGAAGGTTCAGGAGTGGGAGAAATGATAGGCACAATGAAAGAATTTGGAAAAAGATTTAGTGAAGAAACCAAGAAAACTGTTAAACAAGGATTAAATAAATTAGTAGATAGTATTGACACAGGAGAAATCAAAGTCAAACATAAGGGTAATGGAATATTTTTAAAAAACATACACACTGGAGAAGGAATATATCTTTTGAAGTATAAAGGAGAAGGAGTTTTTTTTGGAACAAATTACAATAATAAAAAATGGGTAAAAAATTTAATCATTCAGAAATATTTCCTAATAACCCAATGCCCATGTGTATATGCGGTAGTTCCGGTTCTGGGAAAACTCATCTCACTTTTAACATGTTTACAACACCAAACCTTTTAGATTTAGATTTCTACACAACAACACCTGAGCAATCGTATTATCAATTTCTCAAAACTTTAGAATATCTACCAAAGAGAGATGTTCACGACCTATTTCAATATTACAAAGAAAACGTTGAAAAAGTGGAATTGAAAGATTTCATAGATAACTACATCGAAGGAAAGAAACCAACGGATATAAAAGTTTTTCTTACGAAAAATGTTAATGATCTAGATTTGTCGAGCGAAAGAACTTACTGTTGTTTGACGACTGCGTGGCGCAAAGAAATCAAACCGTTCAACAAGAATTCTTCACGAAAGGAAGACATCACAACTGTCACTGCATATACCAATCCCAATCTTTTCACGGGATGGATTCTATGTTCATTAGAAAAAATGCAAATTGTTTTTTATTATTTGAATTAAACGACAAAGATATATCTCAAATCGTTCAATCGATAAATCACGGAATGGACAGAGATGCATTTAAAAAGGTTTGTAAAGCTCAATGGAGATATCCAGATGATCATGGATATGTATTTGTAAATAATAGAAAACCTGCGGGTGAAAGAGTTATGAACGATATATGTTAATTTTATTTTTTTAACAATGGATTGGAATAATATTTTAAAAAGAAATAGAGAATATATCAAAGCTAAGAATAAAATAAAAACCCAAGTTGAAAATAACAGATTACAACAACTCGGATTAACGAAAAAACTACAGACTCTATTTCAACCCATATTAAAATCTCAAGAGGATATTAAAAAGAGACTCATCCCTCCTATAGAACCTACATTAAAGATGATGAAATCATAATTAGGACATTAGATGATATAAATCGTCTTTTTTCAAACCCTAAAGCAGATTTACCGAAGAGTATTACACCAATCATTGATGATGAGGGGTTATTGTTTAATGGATTTAGAATCAAATTTAGGGCAAATTCCCCTAACACAAAATGTCCCCTCGACACAAAAAACTTAATGTTTATATTAACGACAGGATTAATAGATTTAATGAATGGCGGGTATATTGGCACTGCCGATTACAAGGATTTACTAACATACTCCAAATTTCTAGATGCAATAAGAAAGTCAGGACCCGAAACAAGAAGATTGAAAGCAGTTGAAACATATTTAAATAAAGTTATTCCTGATGAAGAGGATTCAGATGATTATGCAGATGATTATCCACCAATCATACAAGAAATAGACGAATTCGAAGATATGGTATCTGGACAAGGTATAACGTTTTTATCCGACAACAACGAAGAATTGCTTAATAGATTACGAGTAATATTAGCGGCAATGAAGGAAGGACATCGGTCACACAGAAAATTTAATGAAGTGAATTGTATATTAAAAAGACTCCTAGAGAAAGGTATCATGGATAAAAATGATTATAAAAGCGTGATTGAAAATATTCATTAAAAAATGTCAAATAAAGAACAACTATTCGTCATCACCTCGAATAAATCAGACATCAAATTATCTCTAGATTATGAGTACGAACTCGATCGCAATCAAGAATATGAATTGGGATTAAAGTATTTCTCTGTTTACAATTCCATTAGAAATATCAACGAAAAAAATAACCAAATAAAAATATCAACAGATAATGGAGTTACATTCAAAACCATACGTTTACTACCAGGAAGCTACGAATACATAGCCATTAACGAATACTTATCTGAATATGCAGGAAGCGTCAATGGTAAAAACAATATCGAATTCGAAGGTAATTTAAATCTAAACAAAATAAAATTGATATTAAGAAATAATAGTCAAGTTGATTTCAACGTAGAAAATTCATTGAATACGTTACTAGGTTTTGATAAATATACACCCAATCCACTTTAGCACCACTCAAAGCTAATATCGAGAATGATATCGATGTGATAAATATACACTGCAATTTAATAAACGGTGGATTTTTCAATAAATACAAACGTCAGATTATTTACCGTCTTCCAACATTCACTGTACCTATTGGATATAGAATTATAGAGAAACCATTTCAAACGACATATTTACCACTTAATTCCTTTATGATTAAAGATATAAATCTGGAAATCAAAGATGGTAAAAATAGGTTTATAGATTTTGGTAACGAGGAAATTGTTATTCAACTTCATTTAAAACAAAAAAATTAACACTCTTCATTCTCTTCTTGAATAGTTAGATAATCGAAATCATCAAATTCAAAGTTTTCATCCAAACACATCTCATCTTTATTGTTGTAAGGATACATAATTCCTTCACTGTTTGGTGCTTTTCTCTTAACGAGATTCAGATAACTTCTGAAAACTTTCTTTTGTTTTTCATTAGGAATAACTATTCCATTGGTGAAACTTCTTACCCAAGGTTTCTTAAATTCATTCGTTACGTCATGTCCACTAGCTAATTGAATGTAGTCTTCTACCTTAATCTTATAGTTAGAGTAACCCTTAAACGTTTTCTTTTCTTTTAAAACACCGTCGGAAGTTAGAATGATATTGTATTTTACTTTTGGCGCTCAATATAAACCAAATATGACTCCACCATCACCGTAATCATTCTTCCCTTTGCTATATTCGTTTTCAGACACCAACCCAGCTTCATTTAATTTATCCCAATTACTAGACGAAATGTATAAACTATCGGTATCTGTATAGTATATTTCAGGCTTATAAAATCCATCTATGACGTGAATGAAATTGTTCATTATTTTTTTACTGTGAGATAATATAAATGCACCTAAATGAGTGGGTGTAGTAAAATCCTTTGGAGGAACAAACTCTTTTTCTTCTTCATTCATGTCAACTATATATTGACTATCATTTACTTTTTCATAGCTTTTGACGTGTGAATCGAAGTTGGCTTTAAAAGTCGCTTCACTCCATAGATGTCTCGATGTATTTATATCCTTCTGAATAGATTTACCGTATAAGGAATTACCTAATAATTTCATGCAATTACTAGCAACCACATCTCCTTCTTTTTTGTATTTATTCCTTAATTCCTTCAAAATTAAAATATAATCTCTGTATGGTGGAGTTTTCTTCGTAAACTATACCATCTAATATTCTAATAATTTTACCACCGGATTTCACTATTTCTTGAATATCAACTGATGTTAAAACGTCGTGACAGAAACCATTTCTGAACCTGATTTTAGTGCCAGTTTCCTTCTGACCTATTCTATTCGTAAAAGTTATTTCATCTTTAGCTGGTATGGGTTGAAAGAACATTTTTTTGGGATATTCAAACCAAACTTTTAAAATAGCAGTTCTAGGTCTGAATTTTTGTTTATCGAAGAGTTTT